CACACACACACACACACACACACACACACACAGAGCTGTTGGATGTTACGTCGATGCTGCGCACAGAAGCGCTCATTTGGACAACCGGAAGCGTCGCTTCATGACGGGCGATCATGTTTTTGCGCCTGTTAAACACAAACATGGCTCCAGTTCAGCCAGTTTTACAGATGTTAAGAGGAAATCAGCTGCGGAGTCATCCTCACTACATTTTCTTAACACTAACTGATCAGATGAGATACGCTTTTAAAATTTAGGAGTCTGTCTGTTAGCAAAATATCTCATCAACCTGATGGATTTTATTTAAAACTTAACTTGAGTGTACATCTATAACTGATTCACTTTTCAAGTGAACCCGTTTCAAGCTGCCACATACTTCATGAAGTCAAAAAATAGGCATAACTCATATCAAATGTTGTGTTGATAACCGAGCATAAAGTCAGCCTTAACTGTTGGCAACATGAACCCTCAAAGATAATTTAACTCTCAGCAATTATAAGATGCTGATCTACAGTCACATCATTCAGAATGGCCACTGGCATTAACAAACATAAAAAAGGGCTGAAGTGTCAAACTGACAGATCCTGAGCTCAGACTTACTGAGAGTCATTAACACATCCTTTGATTGTGTCATCTTATTATCACATGAGATTGCACATAAAGTTAAGGTTTAGCCAAAATGGCTGCAACTACATAATTTTTGCTCATAAGATGAACTTGGTCTAAATCTGTTAAATAAAAGTGGGTGATGTGCATTTCTTCAAGGAACACTAGGCTGTTTTGTTTATATATATATATATACATATTGCGACAAAATGTCAAACCTCCCTGAGAGCAGAACATCACGTGCTAACACCTGAGCTTCAGAAAAAGCACAACGATCAGAATTTGATTTCCAGCTTGGTAAAGCAGTCACATTTTTATCTAGTATCTGATTTTTGAATAGATTTGATCCAAAAATTGTTTTCTGATTCTGAATCAACCTTCATGATCTTTGTCAATTAGAGGAAAGGCCCTCAACAGCCCAAAGGGTCTGTCTATGGGTCAATTTTGTACTAGATCACATAAAATAAAATAAAAAATAAAATAGTCAACATTTTGTTAATATTTTATGTGGGCTACAGGGTATTTTATTTTGAAAAAACAATCTTTTCCCACCACATAGCAGGGAATCCCTGGTCCTCATAATCACTGTCCTCCATGTTTTACTTGGTCCCCTGCTCTAACACACCTGATTTGGTGAATAAACAATCTTGTTTTAAGTCTGCAGAAGCTTGATAATCACCCATTCATTAAAATCAGGTGTGTTGGAGCAGAGAAACAATTAAAACATGCAGGATAGTGGCCCTTAAGGATTATGATAGCCCAGCCCTGGGCTAAAGCAAAAACAAGTGAAAAGGCATGCTGTAGAACTTTGACTGTTTGACAGTCAGCAAAATATCTCACGAACCACTGGATATATATTTCAACTGAAACCTGTAGAAAGTAATGATTAGCTGTGTTCTCAGTCATTTAGGTCATGATCAGTCAAAAAACAACCAACTGGACCTTTATTCTGAAGCTGGAGTTGTTTGGCTTCCCATCAGCTTTATCAACTGAAAAATGTCTGGAGTGTGGAGTCCCAGGCTTTGTAGACATAATGAGGAATGTCTAAAGTACTTTTATCTTTTTTTTTTTCAAGTTTTGATTTTTGATCAATCCTTGTCTGTACCTACAACTGATTAATCTTTAGCCTCAAATCAATTCAGATGGCAGTCGCAGCCAGTCGATATTAGCTTTCACAACAATAACCACACCTCAGTGAATTTTACAGATGCTCAGCTAAACGTTGGTGTGGTAGCTGAGAGTTATTAACAACATAAGGTCATGCAAGCTCACAGCTCGTAGTTGCGTGTGATTGTACAAAAGGTTTTCGAGCTTTATCATCATGATCATCATCTCCCCTGGACCACTGACGGACATGCAGAGCCTCATCAGTGGAATGAAAATCTATCTTTGTTTTAATTGAAGCACATGACACCAGCTTAGGTGCAGAACTACAGCAGCAGCTGGATGAATTGTTCAGGATGTGAGAGAGAAACACAACAAAGCACAAAACCATTGGAAAAAGCCAAGATGGGAGTCAGTCACCTGTCCTGAAGCCAAAACAAGAAGAACTTTTCTTTGACAAGAGTCTCAGACTGCACAAACTTATAAAAGACTGTGTTAAAATGATCCTGTTCACTGTGTTAACTTGTCCAGTTTGATTTGAGACCATGAAAAGGAATATTTGACAAATCCAGGAGGAATAATTCCTACAAGGTCTTCTTCCAAATGAATAAAACCTGGGAAAGTTCAACCTCTGTTTGTAGAAACTGTGTTGTTGGGGACAGCTGGGATAAAAATCGTTCTTACTTACTGATAAGTTCCTTACTTGTTAAGGTTAAAGTTCCTTTTTGATAAAAGATGATTGACACATATTGTTGTTTTTTTAACATTTAAACCTGTGAGAGGAACAAAACAGATTAAAAAGTCTTGAGGATATGGTCCTGCGATTCATCTTCTTACGTGTTTTTATTGCCTTATAACACCAAAAATATATAAATCTAATATAGTTCATCCTCCTGGTGCTGCTGACTGCGGCTGAATAAAAGAATGAACAAAGGAACAAACAAATTTTCTGGTCCAGTTCTGGCCCACGCAAGGCACTAACACTTGGCCCATACATCTCAAAGAACGGCGGCTCTTTCGTGGCTCAGATGTGGTTTTGCCAGAGGTGGTCCACACATGCGTCAGCGCCACATACACCAAACTGGGCCAGCTGTGACATGCCATTTTAAAAACAGTGCCATCATTGCCAGACCTGGCCCACATCCAGTCGACAAACAGCCAGCTTGACACCAGATCTGGTCCACACCTGTCTGCTGTGGGTTATTTATCCCTGAGGGGAGTTAATTTGTCACAGCAGCCATAAATTAAATTACACATTACATCATAACAACACAATACAAAAAATAAGCCATTTCATAACAATAAGACATTTATATTTGACATAAAGATGAGCTGTTAAACAGGGAGATGGAAACCAGTCGGACTTCAGGAAGTGGTTATGACAGCAGAGCTCATCAGCTGGGCGGTCCCTCTTGTTCCTCATTGACACAAATGTGTCCAAGTTCCAATGAGTTTTCTGGCGTTATGAAGGTTTTTTTATTATTCTCCATTTCAATAATTTAGGGAATCTTAATTTACCAAAAAGGACAAAGGATTAGTCTGATTTATTGTCAATCTGTAAGAAGATGGTGTCTTTTTATATGGAAACATCTGGTGTCAAGTAAATGTACAAGAGTTCGAAAAAATGTTTAGTTTGCAAAAAATATGTGAAAATTTGAAACAACTCAAAGGTTTGTGTGACATCATCAACTGTCAGTTAAATAATCTATGGAGAAATCTGTAAAAACCATCAAGTTCATCAAAATATCACTTCAGCCTTTTATATTCTAACTTTCACCTTCCCCCTCACACAGGATTTTCACTTATTATCTTTAATGAAATCAAATAGAAGGGAATAAAATCAAACTGAAAACTAGTTGAAACATTTGTATTCACCCCTTTTAAATTAAACCCCCAACCTTTACGTTCAGAAGCCACATTTAGTTAAATAAGATGGAATGTGGCTGATCTAAGTGTAGCTATAAGCAGCCGTGGTGGAGAAAATGTCTTAACTCCTTAGTTTTCTGTGTTCTGTTCATGTCTGCTCCAGGCTGCTCGATTGATCATTTATATTCTAAATTTAGTCATTTAGATTATTTAAACAGAAAATATTCCCCGTTGCTCCAAGCCATTCCTGCATGATAAGATCATGTGAGGTCCAGTGTGTGCAGTGGGTGTGTCTACGAGCTAAAACCAGCAGAGTCCGTGTGGGCAGACTCATTTCTGGCCCTATGAGACCCCACATTCAGATCACTGCTGACAGGGTGATAAGAGAAATCTACTGAGAAACCCCAGTGCTGGCTTATAACTACAAATTCTTAAGGAACTGAGGATGAAGCATCAAAAAATTGTTCACATTTTATAAAAGTTGTTAAAAAAAAACACCAATGTTAATAATAAAAAACCATGGCTGCATGATCATTATGATGTAATGGAAAGAACATAGTGGATCTAAAAGTGTCACAGTTAGATTACTAAATCATAAGGTCACTTATCTCTCTGCTGTTGTCCAATTAAGTGAACCAGGACAAATATGTACTTTTTGTTTTGTGTTGTTTCTTCACAACCCTTACTGATGCTCTGTTGAATCTACTTTTAATCTAATCCATCAATCACAAGATAAGCAAAGTAAATAGATAGGCTACTGTTTTAAAAGCTGTTAACCTTTGCATAAAATGTAAAATGGTTAAATTGTCATTTTTAATGTGTTTTTTAGACCAGTTCTGCTCTATGTTCAAACTTCATCCTTTTTAATGCAAACAAAATTAAAAAGAAATACAAAACAATTTTGACTTCCTCAGATTTGACCTTGTTGCCTCAGCCTGCGTCAGAGAGAAGCTCCCTGCTTTAAAGCTTTTATGACAGGCGGCACCAGGTTAAAGGTCGAGCTGCTACACCTTTAACAGGTTTGTAGCCACGCCCCTCGCGCTCACCTGCCTCAGTGGCCGTACCTGCAGGCTGGATGTTCCCACCCCTCCTCCTCCTGCTGCCTGCTGCAACATGAAGCTGTCATTTTTCCGTTCCCCCCTCTCTCTGTGTGACCCTCACCTGACATGATGGAGCTGCTGGACTACCTGCAGGACCCGGAGCTCGTGGCCCGGTTCCAGAGACGATGCGGACTCTTCCTCGTCGAGGCGTCGTGCCGCGGCCCGGAAAGGACCCGATCCCAGAACGGAGTCCAGCTCCACCGGGAGAACACACATGGCTCAGAGAGGAGAGGATCATGGGACCATCAGGACAAGAACTCCAACCATAAACCCACCCTGAACGGACCATGTGCTAATGTAAGGCTTTTATTATGAAAAACCTCAGTCTGGACATGGTTATATGAATTATAGAAAAAAAATCATAGGCATATAAATATTTGATGTTAAAATGATTTCAATTGAAAAATCATTCAAATAACTTTCAGATGATCATCATGTATTTGGGTTTAAAAAACAGAACAGGTAACAAATTAGTCTAAAGTTCTATATTTTGAGACACTAATAAGTGTCCTGAATTTCCATTAAACAAAGTGAAAATTTGTTGCAAAAACTGACAACATTTACATGTTTTTGAAATGTATCATAAAACTGTGATGAACATTATTCAATCAACTTTGAATAAAATAATTAGACCTCATTCATTGAGTTTGTTGCTGCAGAAAATGTCATTTTATCATTTTGGTGGAACAAACTGAACAAACTGTGCTGTCTTTTTACACCTTCAGGAAAATCAAACTGCTTTCGTTGGAGTAAAAGATTAAAATTATGTCAGGAATGAATAACAGAGGTGGGGTCTTTACTTTTTTGGTAGGGGATCAGATAGCAAAAGTTTATACTGTATATTACACAAATAACATAAAACAACACAGTATTTAATTTTACCATTGCTTGAAATGTGTATTTTTTTAAGCATTTGCGATTCTTTCAAGTGTCAAACAGGTGGTCTTTAATTAATGTGCAAAACTGGAGTTAAACTTATTTTTACAAGGAGACAATAAAAAAGTAGATTTTGTTTGAAGGCCAATCTCAGTCATCCATCCATCCATTTTCTGTACACGCTTCTTCCTTTTCAGGGTCGCGTGGGTCACTGGTGCCCATATCCAGTCAATGTTTTTTAAAATAAGGAATAATTCTGTTTTGATTTTCAGATAATCTCTTTTTTTCCAGATTTGTCAGTTTGTCGGAGTCATCTCAGGGTTGACTAAAGTTGTTGTAAAACCAGTCTTGAACCATTCTCTGTCACTTTGAAACATCCCGGTTCAGTTGACGGGTGAAACCATTTCGAAATTCCAGAGGGGTGTGTGTGAACTTTACACCTGTGGGTTAGATGGAGATTGAAGTTGTGTGCAGATCTGATTGGCTTTTTGTGTTGTACAAAACATAAAAAACTGTATTAACTTACCTAAGATGCCAGCTGGGGTGGCAAGAAATTTAGCTTCCAGTGACTACTGCCACTCTGTGCCACCCCCTGAAACCACCACTGGTAAACAATATGACAAATGAAATTCTTGGTATTTTTACTATTTATGATCAATGCAGTTTATCATTATTCCAGCCCATTAGCCACAGCTGCCCAAGATCCAGCTGAGTCAGCACTGAGAGGAGCATCCAGAGAACTGTAGACGTTAGTTTACATTTGGTTCCTGCTTTAAAAAGTGCGAAAAAGCATAAATCTTTCTGTATAACACTTAAATGAAAGGCTATTTATCATTAAGTAAGTTTGAGAGCGAGCATAAACAAAGCATCAGATTTAGTTAAAGATTGTACAAACCAAAAATGGGACTGACTTTTCTGGTTTTTCTGGAGTCGGAACCAGATCTTCGTTTCACTTTGACAGGTGTTGTGAACATAGTTGTCTTCCTTTTTTCTGACTAAAATAATTGTTTGAAGGTGCAATGAATGAACAGTACACTCTGTCTGAGTCTGTTTTTAACAGAGCAATTTTTGGCTGTTCAAATGATCATTTAAAGGTGCGACAGCCCCATGTAAAATCACCTGCTGCCTTCCATACCAGAGATTTAAACTAAGATCATCTTGAAGTATGTAGCTGTTTTAGTGAAACTTTAACTCTGTGTCCGTAAAATGAATCAAGTTACAGACAGTTTTTATGTGTTAAGTACTTGTGGCGTCCAACTTGGATCAGATTGAGTCAAAAAAAATAAATCAGCTGTAAAAAAATCATCAAAATCTAGAGATGTAAAGTCTGCGAACAATACAAATCTTTTGAAAGTCTCCTTACAACAAACAATAGGAACCAAGTCATGGGCAGTAAAGAGTTGTTTTTTGTAAATACTCATATTTTTCTTGTTTTCTATCTGAACCACAGGCACAATCACTCCCGCTACGCTTTTTCCCAGAAAACAGGCAGAGGGGTGGAGTACAGCAGCTCAGAGGGAAAAGGGGGAGGGGATCTCTGCTTAACAAAACACATGGTTCCACCCACATGGCGTATGTCAGTGGTTCCCAATCCTGGTCCTCAAGTACCCCTATCCAGCATGTTTTACTACTTGTTTCTCTGCTCTTCAGCAGGTCTTCAGAAGATTGTTAATCGCTCATTCATTCAAACCAGGTGTGTCAAATCAGAGAAACATCTAAACATGCAGGAAAGGAGTCCTCGAGGACCAGCATTGAGAATCACTGCTTTAATACAGGTTATCCGATTGATTATTTACAAATGAATGGCAAAGAATCAATGGCTTCCAGAGGCAATACTAAAAAACATAAAACTGAGTCAATATTATATTTTGAAAATGTCTCAAGCTCAGAGAAGCTCTTGAGGTGTTGGTCAACATTTATAAAGTAGTGATTTTTAGATGTTTCCCTGACTTGACTCACCTGGTTTGAATGAATGAGTGATTAAAAATCTTCTGAAGACCTGCTGAATAGCACAGAAACAAGTAAAACATGCTGGATAGGGGTACTTGAGGACCAGGATTGGGAACCACTGCCGTACGTGATGACATAACTCATACAAAGGCAACAGCTCTTTTGAACGGCTCTATGAAACAAGCGACTCCTCAAGCTCTGCATCCCTTCAAAGAGCCATTCTTCACATCTATTAAAATCCATCCAAAAAATGTAAGAAATTTTCTAACAGACAAACAGGAGTGACTGCAAGAGTTGAGGCTAAATTTTTAAGCAAAGACTTGTGTGTACCACTTGGCCTATGTGTTGTTATTGGCTCTCAGCTACGGACGCACCAACATTTAATTCGATATCTGTTAAAGTTGACTGAATATCAGCAATTTTTGCAATTTTTGGAAGGTAAGTTGGCTGCTGTGATTATCTGGAATCGGTTTGGCACCAGAACATAATCAGATGTACTGCAGCGCAGTGGTGCAGTTTGTAGAGCTGTTGCCTCTCAGCTAGTAGGTTACTGGATTGAATCCGAGTCAGTGGGTACAGTTTGCATGTTCTTTCTGTGCATGCATGCGTTTTCTCCGAGTACTCCAGTTTCCTCCCACTGACCAAAAGCATGCTTGTTAGGCAATTTTTTTGGCATTTTTTTATAGAAGGCAAACTATGACCTATTATGGTCAAAGGTTTTCCATTGCTAGTATGCCAATTTGGGCGCAACTCCTACATTGGTTTACGGCACTTGGTATTCCAAGGTGGTCTCCCAACCAAGTACTAAACAGCTTAGATTCCGAGATCAGATGAGATCTGACAAGATCAGGGTGGTATGCCTAATTTGTAGCTCTAACTTATCCCTAGGTGAGATTGATTGTCCCATTTGTCTTTGTGGCTCTGCGACATGACCTGTCAGGGTGTACCCTGCTACGTATATGCACAGTGACTGCAGGACATGGGCACAAGTAACCCATGTGACTCTGAAAGGAAGAAGCAGGTAAAGTCAATAGATGGTTGGATATGGAAAATAACTGAGTTGACTCCAAAGAGGGAATGGCAAAATTTAAATTAATATCTAGCAACAATCTGTTAATACCCAGAATATGTGTTGGGGATCAACTTCAGCCACTAAGGCACCAAATTTCAGGTCCATATCTATAAATTAAAAGGGTTTTAGTCATTTTAAAAGTTTCTTAAGGTCAGTTGGCTGTTTCAGATGTTATGAATTAGGTTTACTCCAAAAGTTAATCTATGTAGATGTACATCTGATGATTATATCCAGAAATTTAAATACAATTTAGCAAGTGGTTCATTTTGATAACTAATTAGTTTATTAATTTAGTGAGGGAAAATAAAAACTTCTTTACAATGGTTAACCTCCAAGGAGATGATACAAAGTTGGCTTTATGCATCCAAACCAGTCCGTTACTAACCAGTCTGATGGATTTAGTCTCTGTGCTCTATCATATTTTGTGTTGATCTATTTTTATTCTCTGCAGAGCTGCAGCAGGCCTCAGTATGAGGTGAAAAACTGGCTGCTACACTTCCTCTTCCTGTTCTCATCCAGCCTTGGTCACGAGGTCTTTTACATCACCGGCCTGCCCTGCATACACTGGAATCTGGATCCTTTCCTCTGCCGTCGCCTCGTCAACATGTGGACAGTAAGTCACAGCCTGAAGGTGGGATCTCACTGAGCTGGAACTGTTAAAGACCAGTCAGTGACTCAAACTTGACTCAAAACTGTGAGAAAACTAGCAAATGAGTGATGACGGTGTCAGTGAATGATTTGCAGTCAAGTGAACAGCAAGGCCATGCACAGTGTTTCCACAGTGTACCCACCTCAGTCTGCTCTGTATCCATCTCTGCAGCTGCCCTCACATTTGTGTTTGTGTCCACTCCAGTATACTTTTGATATGAAGCCACTAAAATAGTCTTTTGCCACTTTTAGCTCTTCACTCTTGTTTGGCTTAACAGTCAACCCCTGAAAAGTAGTGTTTCACAGTTTTTTGGATTCAGGAGTCTTTTGTGGGTTTTTACATGGAACCTAACTACTAGTAGTTTGCAGTAATCCCCGTGATATTGCAGAAACCAGAAAAAAGTACTATTAGGGACATCAATGGCCTGGCCCTTGCCTTCCAGTTCCGCTCAATTCTAGTTTCCCTTCTCTGCTCTCTGGGATTTCTCCCATAGACAAGGATTTTTTCGGTAGAATTTTACCTGGGCCAATCAGCAAACAAAAGGAGGAATTTTAAACGACATTGATTTTCTGCGCAGTGTCTGCTTGTACAGGGGTTAGACAATGAAACTGAAACACATGTTCTTTTGGTGTGGGAGGTTTCATGGCTAAATTGGACCAGCCTGGTGGCCAATCTTCATTAATTGTACATTGCACCAGTAAGAGCAGAGTGTGAAGGTTCCAGGGTAAGAGCACAGTTTTGCTGAAAATATTGCAATGCACACAACATTATGGGTGACATCCCAGAGTTCAAAAAGGACAAATTGTTGGTGCACGTCTTGCTGGTGCATCTGTGACCAAGACAGCAAGTCTTTGTGATGTATCAAGAGCCACAGTATCCAGGGTAATGTCAGCATACCACCAAGATGGACCAACCACATCTGTTATGGCAATATTTATTTAACAAAGCCAGAAATACGTGGTCCAAGAATGAAGGTACTCCGTGAGATGATCAGCTGAGTTTTATTGCAACAACTGGAAACACAGACAACCTAGCCTGTCTCTGTGCCTCTGCTTCTCTCTGTCAGTCTCTCCACACTACTGTTGAACTCTGTTGAACCCTGTTGAACACTGTGTCTCGAGAGGCCTCATATATATCTTAACAAACACCATTATGCCATCTTAGCAAGATTTGATACACGGTCAATGGAAAACAAAGATAAACACAAGTGATATCTAAGAATGATTATTGTTGTTAGCAAATCTTGTTCTGACTTTAATCATTCTGTCTGCAGATGAACAGCATGTCATGAAAACCTAGGCCATTAAAGGATGTCATGAATTACTTGCTTAAACATAAAAGTATTAGTTCCACCACAACATCCAACAGGATTAACTGTGGAAGCAAGAGGAAGCTGTCTGAAAGAGATGTTATGATCCAAAACCAAGTATTTCAGTTTCATTGTTTCACCCTTGTAGTTTAGCAATGGCAGCAGAGGAAGTGAATTAAGCCAATTCATGTTGACAAGGCTTCCAAATTAAAAAAAAATTTGTCTCACAAAGCCTGCAGCACTTATTTACAGCCGTCTCGTTCGGCTCGGTACATCTCTTCTCTCAGTAGGGGATGGTTGTTTACAGCACACACAATTTCCGGTTTGCCTCTTAGCTTAGCTTCCTTCACAGTGGAGCTGTCGCACTTCATACATCGCAGCCAGCCATTAGCGATTGGGTAAATCAGATCCAATCATTTGAAACTTCAACAGAGGCCACACCTCCAGCGAGCAATCGCTTCTCAGTAGCCGAGAGTCCAGACCCTCCGTACGAAGCAAAGCAAAGAATAAGGGGCTGTTTTTTCACCAGGCTAGGCCATCATAGGTTTCCTTTGCTCTCAAGCTTTTTTGTGAGTTTTCAAACTAAATTATTAAGAAAAATATAATTTACAAATTTTTTACCATAAATATTAACGTCAATACAGTTGCATAAAAAATACATTACAGTACATGATGCATGTGTCCTGTGCCCACACTTCGCCCGCAGAACAGCGTTTCCACTTGCTGACAGTTTATTGTGCAGGACCGCGTGGTGTGTAGTTGGCCTTTTCTGGACTCCATTATTCACATTTTTTCATGTAACCCTCAAAAAAAAATCGCTGATTTACTGTACTTGAAATTACAGTTTCTCTCATTTCAGTAAATGTTTTGCTCATTTTGCTAATTTATCTTATAGCATAATGTTTTGCTAATTTTAGCATTAGAAAATGTAGAAAAGGCAATTCTATTATTTATCATCAGCTAGGTTTTAAGACTTGGACATGTTTCCTATCAGAAGACAGCTGGTGATAAAATACAACTCTTGGTTTTTATGTGTTGGAGACCCCTGTGACAAAATCAAGAAGCATTCAAGATGGATTTGAGACTCCTGTAAAGACCCTGCGAGAGAAAATTTGTCACACAAATAAATGTTTTGAACTTATAATAAATTTAATTAAGTAGACTGCGAGCCTCAATAGCTCAGGCAACAAAATTGAGAACCCCTGAAAATATCAGGAGGTATTCTGGAAACCTGCTTCAGAACAGTGGTGGCTCCAGAAAATCATGAGTGGGGGTAAAAGGGGGGTCTTGAGTATTTGTAAGGGGATCCAACAAAATTTGACACAACAAATAATACTATTATATATACAGTATATACTGTGTACTGTAGTATTTTCCAATCCCAGGCTATAACTAAATATTGTGAAACACGTTACTAAATGTTTACCATCAACACAACATATTAACAGCTTTTAGTAATTCAACAAATGCCAAACAAGAAGCTCAAACGACAGAAAACAACTTTACAAGAGTGTACTTGAGTGAAAACTGCTGCAGCACAATGTACAATTTGATGTGGAGTTGCAAAACCTTCCTCAATAATCTGTTAGTCACTCCTGTATCTCTTGTTCAAACACCATTCCTTTTCTTATCCCTATCTATCTGCAGGGGTGGGCTGGGTTTAAAATTCAGCCAGGGAGCTTGGTTTAGAGAGGCCTTTTATCTAATAGCAAGACTGATGCAAGCAGAAAAATAATTTTAACACTGATTCATTATTTGCAGGATTAAAACAGTTTTTTTCAACAATCAACTACAACAAAAAGCTTATCTTAAATATCAAAGCAAATACTGAGAAACAAAAACCATGCTCAAAAGATAGACCTATAACACCCCTAGCATATCCATCCATTTTCCTCTGTATCTTGTGCTGCTTTATCAACATTAAAAGAAAACTAGAAATATTGAAGATTATAAAGAGCTCATTACCAATGGGAAATTAAATCCGATGTCTAATTCAGAAAGCCACTAGCATAACTTGCAGAGGTGGATATATAGACTTAATAGGCCTCATGCAAGAACATGTTCGTATTCTTATCCTAAATTTCTCGTACTTTTGTTTGTACAAAGGGTTCGTAC